ATGGTGAACCTGGCGTTCAGTGTCATCGGATGCCCTCATTGCTGTGACAGGGAATTACACTAAAGACTGGTTCTGTGCCCGTGGTGCCACGGTGGAATCCACAGGAGCGTGAACATGGACAGGGCAAGGCTGTACAAGGTCAAAGTGCAATGTCTGCCTTACGTTCTCTACCCACCGTTCATTCCCAGGGCTTCTCTCCTTCCTGGGACTTCCCCTTCCACCACATCCTGCTTTCCCTAAGTCTTTACAGAGGCCACAGTGCCTGAGACAGCAGGTATGGCAGCATCTTCGCCCTCACAATGTAACTTCTCATATCCTGCTTGCAGCAAGCCTCCACCGGTGGAGAGCTGATGACAGACAAACCCACACTGGCTTGTGAATGACTGAAAATGATTTCATGCTGGGCTGACAACATTCTAAAGGAAGAAAACATGGCAAATTATCTGAGGATGTGTCCAAGGACTTGCCAATAATTGTCAGAGCAGAGGAAGAAAGCACAGCGGTTTTGCAATAAGCATCCCTAAAGTTGAGAAGACTGGGTAACATGAATTGGGGGCAAGCAGAACCGTGGCACAGAGGAAGGACTCCAAGAGTTTAGATCTTTGCTCTGCCTTAAGCTCAGCACTAATTAGCTGATTTTGTCGGGGAAACAGAAGGACAATCTGAGATTCAGAAGCAGATCTGCAAGTGTACATGGAAGTCTACCACTTACTGGTTGACCCGTTGAATGACCTAGTTAGGACGCTTAACTTCTCTAAAGCCCAACTTCCTCATCTGTCACTGGATCAAAGATCATGTCTCACAATAAGCATAAGGTATGTTACAAGTACCTTGCTGGGGTGGTATTGTGTTCCCCAATATATTGTACACCCTAATAAACTTATCTGGGGGTCAGAGAACAGAACAGCCACTAGATATAGAGGCCAGAAAATGGTGGCACACACGCCTTTAATCCTATCGCTTGGGAGGCAGAGATCCATGCGGATCTCTGTGAGTTCAAAGCTACACTGGAAAGAGCCAGGCATGATGACACACACCTTTAATCCCGGGAAGTGATGGCAGAAAGCAGAAAGATATGTAAGGTGTGAGGACCAGGAACTAGAGCTGGTTAAGCTTTTAGGCTTTTGAGCAGCAGTTCAGCTGAGATTCACTCTGGATAAGGACTCAGGCTTCCAGTCTGAGGAAACAGGATCAGCTGAGGAACTGGCAAGGTGAGGAAGCTGTGGCTTGTTCTGCTTCTCTGATCTTCCAGCGTTGACCCCAATACCCAGCTCCAGGTTTGATTTTATTAATAAGAACTTTTAAGATTCGTGCTACAGCTTGCAAAAACTGGGTGCTTGACAGTGTCAAGTGCCTACTATGACATCTCTAGATGGTGGCAGTCCTCACAATCACAGCAAGCCTGGACGCCTTCTGTCAACATGCTTCTTCTGCAGTCAGCAGCTGCCTGTGACAGTCAAGATGGGGCCCACAGGGTGCCAAAGAGCATTCGGCCCTCCTACAGGGTTCAGGTTAATTGCTCGTACTACCTCCACGGCGTGACCCTGAGCTCACTTAACTTCTTGATGTCGCCTCTGATTCCTCATCTGAAGGTGGATGTACTGCCCTCTGTGTCTCCTACAAAGACTGAATCCAACAGAGCCTGGAAAAATGCTTGACACATAGCCGGACACCCAGGAATTGCTCGACATGCCATCGTTAGTAGCATGTGGTATTCCACCACAGCAGATGTGTCCTTGGAGGATTCATCCATCTGGCCCAGTTCCTGTCCCCACCTAAAGGCCATCCATCAAGTCTCCGTTCAGATGCCACCCCCACGGAGCAGCAGCGCCAAAAGCTCACCCTGGGAAGGCAGTCTTTCCACACAGTGTCATGTTTATTTACTTCATTGCAATGGCCACAATCTGTAATTAACTTGGGAGTGTGGATCTACCTGTTTATTTTCTTTCAGTCCACACTAAAATGTCAACTGTCTAGCAGGCACGGGTCCTTATCTCCCTTGTGCATCATAGAACAGAGTCTGGCAGACATAATATTCATAAAATATCTGAGGAATAAAAGGAAAAATAAGGAGAAGATGCCGATGAAGGGATGGAAGACTGGGTTCCTTTAAATTATAGGACTGGACTGTAGGATGGACAGGGCAAGAACTGTCTCTGTTCCTCTCACCCACCACACCCATCCGCAGCAGAGAAAACTGATCATTAGCAGTACAGTGAGTGCATACATGAAGTCTCCTCTCAGGCCCAGCCTTGCTGCTGCTACGGTCCTTAAGCATCTGTTCTGAAGGTGCTTCCAGGAATCAGTGGGTGGTTGAGGCCAGTCATCAGGCATCTGCCTCGGGCCTACAGGGTTGTGGGCCAGAGTGTGGTACGCGTAGGAATCACCTGGGGGCATTGTGAAAGTTCATACTTTTGGTTCTCACCAAGACCAATCCGGCAGTTTGAAGAAGTTAACCCAGATGTTTCTGACCCGTGAGGTCGAGGACCATTGTTTGAAAGTCCATCTAGTAAGTCCCCACCTTCAGAGATGGTGTTGGAGACTTAGGCTCTTCTCTAGGGGTGAATGAAGCAATCTAGGAGCTAAGACAGTCTTTTTGAGAGTGAGCAAGGAACATCAAGGATGAACATAAACATGGAAACTATAAGCTCCCTGGGAGTGAAGAGGACAAAGGATTCTAGGGAGCTCTGGAGCCATGATTGACCCTTATGCTTCATGGGAAGAGGAGGAGGGCCACTCTCTGATTAGGCTAGGAAACTAGAAAAGAATATTTCTCCTGCTTCTCAAACTCCTGGACAGAGCAGTGATTTACTGATTATACAAGGAGCATCAACCCCTCAGAAAAACATGGATCCTGACTGGAATTTTATATGATCGGACCAAGTACTCCACAAATCTTGAAAGGGGCAAAGCTATTCAGAGGCCACCAAGACCTCGGTGACTCTTCCTTCCTTCCTAGGTTCCCTTTTTGTCCTGTGTTCTGTTCTAAACCCACCATCAGGGAGTAGACACACTCTGTAGAAGGGCTATGGGGAAAGTGAGGCAGGGAAAAGACTAGGAAAACCAAGTCTGTGTCCTAGGGTGTCACCGTAAACTTGGTGACCTTGGACAAGTCTCTAACTTACAGGATTTTCATAAGTATGCACTAGGGCCATACCTAGGGTATGTGCTTTTCTGTATACAAAGAATGAATTCAATGAAAAGAGAGTTTCTGTTGGCAGGAGAAAGAAAAGGGAACTCTCATCCTGGCTTCTAACATTTGAAGTCTTCCTGTAGTATGACCTACTCAAAGTCCAGCTATTCTTTAAGAAACAGAATTGACAGAACAAAACAACTTCAAAAAGCCCATTTTGATGTTTTTAGCTTGTTTTCAAGAGTGTGGGAGGTTTAAACTTGAGATAGCTACTTCAGAAGAATGTAAGAAGACTCTAGATTTCAGGGTAGGGGCCTAGCAAGTTCTTACTTCATTGCAAAAAGAAAAAAAAAAACTGTCAGTTCAACTAGCCTGTTTCTGTGGCAGGTGGGACACTGCTCTGTAGATTCAAGATGCTGAAGAAGAGGTCTTATTCTCATACATCTAAACAGAGTCAAGCTAATCAGCCAACAGATTCACTTCCTTCCAAAAGTGGGCCGTGAACTATATAACAAAGAATGTCATATTCCACAGGCGAAAAGTCCTTTACAGGATCCAATAATTATGTGGTCATTCCACCCTAACACTTTTACTTACCCCCCAAAAAAATCATTTTTAAAATCATACAAAAATTCTTTTCTCGGGTCATTTTATATATTTCCATCGCACTGCGGTGATGAATCAATCGGGTGGTCTTCAATGCTCCCCAGTTTTCTAGAACAACATTCAAAAGACATTAAGTACGTGTAAGAAAGGAAGTAGATGATGTTGAGAGTTTCCCTGGTCAATGTGAAATGCTGGCAAGGTTCCACTCTCTGTTCTGCAGGATGCTGAACCGATGAGCTCATGTGTTTGGGGTAGGATTTTAACTCTCACTTCTGTCCCCGGAGGGCTTCTTCCATTCATGGAGTTCCTTCTGAAACCGGGACAATGGATGGGTTTGGGCAGCAATCCTGAAGAGTGTATGAGGGGAAAGTGGGTGGTACTGAACAATCCCAACTGTGCTGAATCTAGCTGAGGGAACAATAGGTTAAAACAGGTCATTTTTGATGATAGAACAACCTTTATGTAGTTGTCCTATCATCCAAAAATAATATCAATTTCCTCCTTGAATGCTCTAAAAGTAAAGAGCAAAGAAGCAAATTTATTGCTCTTTGTGTGTGACCTCACCAACAAGAAAGACCTGGCAGCTGAGACAGAGGTGACCGAAACCTGGGCAGAAAGCATGAAGTTGAAGGTAAACAAAGAAGGAGGAAGACAGACTCAGGCATTCTTCTAGATTCCAGACAGGATGTTCAAAAATCAGAGGAGAAGAGCCTATGAAAGTCAGAAACTATAAAAAGAAATACATCTCAAGAAACGCTAAAAATTACAGTCTCTGCTTTTAAAAAACACTACTGAGTGATCTGGGTGAGAAAAAGGAAGGAGTGGGCTGGGAGCTGTGATTGCACAGGCTGCTTGCTGATGAGAGCCAATTTTAGAATCTGAACGCCGCTGCAGACGCCGCCGCCTAGTCCTGCTTGCCTGTGAGCATGTCTCTGCCACTCACATCTGTACCCTGCACATGGCCAAAGGTTGGGACCTACTGAGCATTACTATGTGTCATGGCAAGATCCTAGACCCTTGTGACACACTCTTTTCTCTTCTTCACTATGACTCAGCAAGAGTAGACTCTAGTCTACTCTTCGCAACTGAGGTTAGGAAAGATTAAATAAATAAATGGCCTTAAATCATGAAGCTAATGATGGTCAGGGCTGGGATCCCCTTCAGTGAGTCCATGTTGTACCTGGGAGGAAGGCATAATGGGAAAATGAGAATACAGTATGACATCAGCAGAGGGCAGGAACAATGATGAAAATAGACAGTGTATTTGCACTCCGCATCTCACTTCTACATGTCTAGTCTACATTTTATATATATTATCTACACAATACGTTATCTCATCTAATCCTCACAACAACCATATGCAGTGGGAACTCATGTCTTTGGACACAGGCAGAGAGCTTTGAGCTGGTGCTCTTCTGCATTGAGCGACAACACCTTGGAAAAAGTAGATGTGCTGGCCAAGTGCTCTTCACTCCACAGAGACACACTCACCATTTTCTGGGAGCCCTGCACTTGAGACATCGGGAACTAAACAAACGACATAGGTAAGTGGAAAGCCCTGCTCTCATGGAGCTGAAACTCTTGTGGAATGGCAAGGTAAGAAAGAAGATAAATAGAAACTATACTGTAAGTCAGACGGTGATAAGATAATACTGGGGAAAGAAAGGAGCCTGAAAAGACTAAGTACACAGCAAGACAGGCTGCTCTGGAAGGCATCATGGACATATTTGGATGCAAACTTTAATGAAGTAAGGGCATGAGCATTTGCAGCCTAGCGAAAGCAAGGACAGAGGTACTGAGACAGCCCAAAGTAAATCAAGTAGTAGAAGAGGAAGCCAGAGAGTAACTTGGGATAGAAATAAAAACAATTAATTTCTCAGTTACTGGATTTGGAATGCGAGTGACCTCAGAGAGAGCCGTCTTGGTGGAGTAGGTGATAGCTGGCCACAGTTATGAAGACTTTGAATACAGATGACACATTCAAGGGATTTTCCTAGGGGAGGAAACTGCACAAGATTACAGTAACTGAAGAGGGAATAGGGGGTCTTTGGGGACTGTGTTAAGATGAAGGAAATGGTAACTAGGTCACATAGGAATGATCTAATAGTAAAGCATCACTGGCTGACAGAACATTCCTACAGCATGCCATTATATAAAAGAGCTATGAAGTAGCATGCCCAGGTAGAAGAGTGTAGTCACAGAAGACACAGCACATGGACCAAGTACAGATGGACAACATGACACTCCTCAGACTGTGGCTGTCCCCTCCATGAAATGCAAGTGACCCGCTGAGATTGTATATGAGAAGGAAGGTAAACAGAGGAGGAAAAAGAGGAATTGAAATCATTGCCCAGGAAGATCAAAAAGTACATGCATTTAAAGGGAGAGAGAGGGTAGGTGAAAGGCAAAACTATGATCCAGTTAAGGTCAGTGGTGATGAACTTGAGTGAAGAGCAACAGAGAGGTCCAGTGCTCATCCTTAGCCAATGGTTACTCAATAGCAGAGAACTGGGTGGGGAGAAGTGGGTGGGGTTTAATGGGTGTTGGGATTTTGTTGAGAGAACACAAACCAAGAGAGAGTGTAGTTAGTTTTCCTGCCTTGCCCACAGTCAAGACAAATCTTGGTCACCCGCCAGTCCCACAGTCGCTCAAATCCAACCAAGTAAACACAGAGACTTATATTGCTTACAAACTGTATGGCCATGGCAGGCTTCTTTTTAACTGTTCTTTTAGTTTAAATTAATCCATTTCTATAAATCTATACCTTGCCATGTGGCTTGTGGCTTACTGGCATCTTTACATGCTGCTTTTCCTGGCAGCGGCTGGCAGTGACTCCTTCTGCCTTCCTGTTCTTTCTTTTCTCCTCTCTGTTAGTCCCGCCTATACTTCCTGCCTAGCCACTGGCCAGTCAGTGTTTTATTTATTGACCAATCAGAGCAATTTGACATATAGACCATCCCCCAGCACAGCCAAGTGCAGACTATCTCAGACACCTGCACTCAAGCCCATGGTCCTAATCATCCTCTATGCAGACCTGCTGGGTAAAGCCACGAGGAACCTGAGAACGGGCTCCCACAGGACATACAGTACATCCCACAGCAAGAGAGGAGAGTGAGTGAAGATGTACTCAAACTAAAGACAATGATGAATCTAGTAATGATAGGTACAAATAAATGGACAGAGACCAGGGGAGGCTGGCAGAGCACAGGTAACAGGTGAGAATAAACAGATCAGAGTCCAGTTTCACCCTCTCTTGTGAGGTATGTGCTGCCCAAAAGCACCCAGCTGAAAGAGGAACTAGGCTCTGAAATTCCATCTATGTCCCAAACTAAAAGCTGTATGTGGGTTTGCATCACTCAGAAATGCTTGAAATTTTTAAATTGTTGAATGTTTGAAGTCAATATTTGGGAGACTGGGGATGTAGGGTAATTGATCATGATACATAATGGCCTAGGTTTGATCCCCAGCACTGAATAATTGGGTGTGATAGGTGCAGGTTGTAATATCACAAGTTCAAGGTCATCCTTGCCCACATAGCAAATTAAAGGCCATCTTGGGCTACATGAAGCACTGAAAGAAGGACAGGAAGAAAGAGAGAGGAGAGAAGAAGAGAGAAGAGAGAAGAAGAAAGGAGAAGAGGGGAGGGGAGGGGAGAGGACAGGGGCAATGAGGTGGCTCAGAGGGTAAAGGTGCTTCCTGCCAGATGATGTAGGTCCGATGACCTGAGTTCAGTCCCCCAATCACACATGAAAGGAGAAGGAAAGAAGTGACTCCACAAGTCATCTACCAAGCTCCATGCATGTTCCCTGGCACATGTGCCCCCACACACATCATACACACATACACACATATATAATAATTGTGGTGGTTGTTATAATGAAAGATTTTTAAAGAAAAGAAATGAAGATTTGGGGGCAGTTCAATGGTGAGCACCAAGTCTACTGTACTGGAGTATGGCCAACAGTAGAGAGAGTTGCTTAGATGGACTGGAGGAGATGAATCCTATATATGTGTGTAGCCTAGCAACAACTAAAAAGAAACAATGATGTGGGGATGACAGTTCCCTATGAGCTGAAGTCCTGGAGAAATCAAGCCCGTGGCCCATGGAGGGCTAACTATGAAGGAAGAGGGGTGTCTATTCAGTGATCTCATATGGGGACACGAGATCCATAGGTGAGGGACTTTAGAGAGGAGAGAAATCGGTCTGAATGTGGAAATGGTGAGGAAAGGAATCCATTCGTCTTGCCTTCAGCTTGAGCAGTGCAGAGGAACGGAAGGGAAGTGGTAGTCCTCTGAGAGAGCTGCAGGGGACTCTTTTGATATCTAACACAAAGCTAATAGGCCCCTATGAGAGCTTACTTCAATGACAGAGATGGCATCTACCTTGTCCAACAACATAGCCACTAGCACACTACTGACCCCCAACCCCAAGCCCGACCCTTTTGGCCATTTTCTTACCACTAACATGAGACCTTCTCCTTACTTATTTACCCAAGAAAATCCTTTTCAAATGAAGAAGTATAGAATGAATCAAATAAAACAGATTAAAATCCCAAGGAAGCAAATATTTCTTCTTGAATAATTGAGGTCTACATTTCCTGGAAAAAAAAATGACTAGGGGTGATAATTAGAAAGGGGCTTGCATTGTCATGAACCTTAAGAAAGTTCTAGAAGAGACAGCAGAGGTGGTACGTAGCACCTCCTAAAGAAACTGCTCCGGATGCTAGCGCTGGCTCACTGTGAAAACATACATCCCAGGCACCTCTCCAGGGACTACTTTTCAAGCATCTTGTAAACACTCTTATGATATGAGAGGACACTGACTCTCCAGCAGTAAACATCTATGCCCCAAACAGTGACCAGGGGTCCCCCTGGAGAGGAAGGTGAGCTGCAGCTGTGGACAGGTGTGAGCAGTGCAGAGTTAGACACTGCCCTGGCCCAGTGAGCAAAGGAAACAAGGCATCTACAGATTAGGAATAACTCAAGCCACAACACCAGACAGAGCAATCTCTTCCCCCATCGCTCCTTGTATGGGACACGGGAGAATTTAAAGCCACTTCTCAGATGCTTCATTGAAATAGATAAAGGCATCATTTTCTTTTTTCCTGGTGGGGTTTATTCCTGTCATTACAACGGCCCCCTGCGAGGCTTACCCAGGAGGCTCCTACTGAGACACTAAAGCTAAAAGTTGTCCCTTAACAAATAAAAGCAATGCAGAGAGAAGGCAGAGTGTGGAGATCTCGTATGGAGAAGTCACAGAAAGAAGCAGGGGGGATGCTCAGCTAACCTCCTGGCCCCAGGGAACCGTGGCTCTAAAAATAGTATCGTCTCTTGCCCTCCAACATGGTGTGACATTCTGAAAACTCTGTGAAGGTTGCTGGCTGAGCTAGCTCAGAGCTTCACCTCTGACCCCCGAGGCAGACATGTCTTAATGAGCCAATGGAGGCAAACCTTTATGGGTGGAGTCCCAGGGGAACGGCTGTCTGCTCCACGGCAGTGTTATGTGCAGGACATGTGCTCCTGGCCACAGGAAAAAAGCCATGCAGAAACAAGCTGGACCCTGAAGGGACAGAAATGCTCGCTTCAGGCATTTCTCTTGTCAAATTTCCTCTTAGCATAGTTAATATTTTGACTAGCATTTCTTGAGTATTTCTTATGGACAAGGAACCAAAATAAGCAATTCAGATTTGTTTTTCACTCATGACCCTCAAACTGCCTCATATTCCTGACAGCATTTACACAAGAAAACTGAGACTCAGCCTGTTTCAGCTACGACCCCATCCAACACAGTAAATGGTCATGGTGAGCTGGCCTCAGGACCACTGGGCAAATGATATTCAAGGAGGAGGCAGCAGCCAATCTCCCCAGCACGAGCAACGACCTCTACACCAGGCTAGCCCTTCTATCAGCAAGTCTGACGAGCAAAGCCCTTACCACCCTCCACTTCTGCATGCCATACACTTAGATAAAAACCAAAAATGGCTGACCCTCCGCTAGCCTCAGCTCTGTAGAGGACCTCTCACAACGCAAAATAATATTATCTGTATTTGACACCAGGCTAGCCCAACGCTCCACAGAAAGTCAGCAGCTGCTCCAAACGCGTCTCAAGCCCATCTAAGATCCTTGCCAGTTAGTTTGTAAGCCGTCTTCGAAACCAGAAAAAACTGCAGAAGACCAGAGATAAGACAATTTTTTTTTCACTGTAGTCATGAGATTTTAGATCAATCTTTGGTTGTCTTTATGATATCTGGTAAGATGGAAAAATATAATCGCATGTTAAATATATTTTCTAGATCTCCACTACTTGCTTGGAACCATGCTAAGCATTTTGGAAAATGTACTTATACAGGCTTGACTGCGACTCTTGTAGGTATTTCTCCACTTTACGGATGATGATACTGAGGTTCAAAGTGGCCGTGTGACTTTTCCAACCAATCTCACCCTACTAACAAGTGAAAGCTGTGGCCTGGAGGGTTTTGTCCCCCAAAATTTATATTGTGACGTCTGAGTCCCCAGCACTATACGTTTGGAGATGAGGACTTTG